AAAATATTGGTTTGTATTTTTAGTATATACAATACAATGCGGAGATTATACCATTCACAATCTGAGTACTATCATTGAATTTATCAAGTTCTCGGGGATTATTCTGCCCCATAATATCACAGAATAACATCACAAATAATATGAATGATCAAAGGATAGACTCACATTCATTGGGATTATTATGCCCACACAAAATATCATGCCTAGAACATGTCACTTGGCATCATTCCACTGTTAAGAACCTTTAGCAAAGAGCTACCGGAAGCCCCCTGTATTTCTTCTAAAAGCATTCTATAGTAATACGCGCTTTCTAAGCCTTCTTGGAGACTTAAGGCCTCGGCTGCTATCGTTGACCGTACCACCCTTTTTATTTTGTTGGCGTTCCAGTCGAGGGGGCAGCATCTGTTACTGTCATCCATCAACCACACAACGTGCGCACCACAGCTTCCGGTTCCATTACTTATGGAATAGACAATCAAATACCAATTTTCACATTTTTCGGATATTTTTGGAAATAAGACTTTTGCGGTCGTTCCTTTTAGTTTATTGATTGTTTTGATAGCTCGCACAAGGTCACTCACTTCACCAGTTTTCAATTTTGTACTCAGATCTATCATATCAAAGGCAACATCTGGCCTGGACCCCTGTACCGCCCAATTTATTCTTCCTACTAGTTGTCTAAGAGTTTTCTGTTCTCTATGCGACAAAGTTTCTGTTTTCTGCGATGCCCGTTGCGGAGACAGTATTCCATTCTCCAAATCTTCCATGTATTCGGACTGGTCCATGACTATACCATCAGCGCTCTGTATAATCTTAAATCCAATGTATTTAAAAAACACCTCCTCTACTTTTCCAGCGAGAAATCTGTTCCTCAGTTTATCCATAATCTCCTTGTCAAAATTGGTCACACCAGCATGTAAAATCATCTACGTGGCAGCAGATCAAACCATTCAATTTACTATCGTGGTAAACGTAGAACAATGCTGGATCAAGCTTGGATTGTTGACAGCCAAACTTCAGTAATTCATCACGAACAGATAGGTAAAACTGTCTAGCACCATCTTTTAGACCATAGAGACATTGATTAAGTTTCCAAATAGTACCATGTTCCACATTTGCTTCCGGTGGGGGCGAAATAAACACATCTCGCTCAAGTTTGCGTCCCTGTAGAAATGCAGATTTTATATCTGTTGTTTTAACTGTCCAGGAAAGACTTGCTGCTATGGTGAGAAATATTCTTAAAGCACCTTTTCCTACAGTAGGGCTGTCAATTTGGGATGTATCCTCCTCTTCAAATCCCCGAGCAACTAGTCGACCGCTCTGTGTCAGTACCCATCTAGTTGAGATGGTAGGCTGTCCTCTATCTTCAACTTCTTCATAGGTTTTAAACGTTTTCAGCTTTTCTAGTTCTTTCTGCTTAGCCTTCACACAATCTGGATTCTTCTGGTCAGCTCTTGGCACCATAACAACATTGACATTTTCGTTACTTCTCTTCCATATAACTTGGTCTATATTTATACTCATCTTTTCACCACTTTCTTCAACTCTTATTTCTATAAGAACCTGTTGCTTTTCCTGCTCTATTTAACACTGTAGCCTGAATCCAATCTGGAGAGTCATCTATCTTGTACTCTATCACATCATCAGGGCGCAAATTTTTATGATTAACACCAATAGCATCAGTACCACAGCCACTAGAAAGTCCATCATTTTTGGCTAATGTTTCTGATGGTACACACTGAACATTATCTTGCGGAGCAGATATATCTAAACGAGTCTCGTTAATGTCCTGTTTTGTGGTATCATAAACCCCGCCAAAGTTTTAGGTCCATAGCAACCTTTTCATTAAATCTAGATGCCATGGGCATCGACACAACTGGTCTTGGGGGCGTCGTGGCGTATTGTTTGCACAGATCACATTCCTGATATATAACTTCGAGAACGTCCAGGAAACAGTGACGCCATGATCCTGCATCCTTCAATAAGGCTACTAATTTATTGGTGGGCGGGTGGGCAAATTGTCTATGAAGTTTCAACAGTGCTTCTTTTTGACTTTTGTAGTCACTTTCATCAATTCTAATAGCAAAAACACTCTCTACATTAAGTTTATCACATTTGTCAATAGGAACACAATAATGTCCGGACGAGGTCAAATTAAGTATCACTTCCTCACCAAAAATAACTGCCATGTCATTTTCCAAGTCTAGTTTTACCTGAGCACTTTTCATAGCTTTACGGGATAAGAGCAAAGGAATGTCCGATTCAGCGACATCAGTTTTTATAAGTACATCATGTCCAGCTAATGTTGCCGGTATGGTGTACATTGCCAATGATTTCAGGCATGTACCTCCACCAAACTTAAATATCTTACTTCCGTTAGCTTTTACTACTTTCGACTTTTCACCAGTATCAAGGGAATTCACATAATTGTCAAACCATGTCTTGCCACACACCGTACTGGAACAAGCACTATCTAAAACCACACTGTTCTGAGCTTCAACGCCTAATTTCGCAACATTTTCAGCCTTGTTTCCTGTATAAAGAACTACATTTTCTTCATTAGTAACGTTTACTCTAGCCAGGTTTTCCCAACTATCTGGGCATTGCGCGATGAGATGTCTAAATGACCCACAGGACTTACAAGTCATAATTTTGCCATTATGGCCGATTGGGTTTGACTGTCTTGTCTGCGAGTACGACCTTCTATAGTTATTTGGATGTCTTGTTCCTCGTCCCCTGGAAAAATGACCCGGTGGATTACTTCTCGATCGATGCGAGTGATCGTCTCTATTATAAGATGACAAGAAAGCTTCTTCATTTCGACTTCCAGTTACACAAGCAGATTCAAGTTTTATGGCTGGATTAAACTGACTTACTTGACCTGGACATGTGTCACCTTTAAATTTCCTCAAAGACTGTTTTGCATCTTCATACAGTTTATCAGTCTTGTTCTAATCCATCCTTGTTAAAACCAATAATCGTTCTTCTGGTGTTATGTTGTCATTTTCAGGCAAAGAAAGAGCAATAATGATACCTCTTTTCACTTTTGGAATCTCCGTAATTTCACACCATGCTTCAAGTTCTTGTTTGTATCGCTCGTAGGTTTTATCTTTGTGAAATAACGGGGGGTTTATCTTCATAGCCATATTGATAATAAAAAAGTTCAGTACCAACCACACAAAGATCCAAACACCAAAATATATACTGTCTCTTCGTTTTCTTTCGCTCATACCACTATCTTTTTGGCCGCCATTCCAAATTCAACTTCAAAGTACTTTCTTCTCACTTCACTGTCGCTCAAAGTTTACAAATCTTCATAAAACTTACGCTTCATCTAATACTTATAACATCCGTAGATTCGTTACACGCTCTGCTACCATTTGTTAAGGTAAATTATCACATCTAATGTATATACAGTTTATTCTAAAAGCCAGCAATACATGTCGTGCAATACATATTCACTCGAGTGTAAGATGTCGGCGTCTATCTGCCCTGGTCACGTGTGTGAAGCTCGTGCATGAAATATACTTCAATGAGCATGCGCAGCCTACATTCATAGTAGACGTTCTGTCCAGTCTGATAGCAGACGACACATTCAATATATTAACATGGAGTATTCTCTTATATCTACAGGTACTCAGTGTACCTATGCAATGCTTCGAATTACAGTGCTCCGCAGACATATTATGGTTAGCTAGCATCCACCTCTATAGCCAATACAACTATTGTCAAATATTGATTAAAATTGTATATATAAAAAAAATCATAAGTAGCCTCAATGGTCAAGTAAAATTGCATAATTACTTCCCCTGAAGTAAAACGTATATAAAACGTTATTCAATAATAATAATGATTTAATATCACAGATAAGATACAATGGATCTAGCCTTAGCTCTTCAAGGTTTAGGGAGACGGTCAAGGGTTGCCTAATATTATTGATAAATGCTCATGAAAATGATACAATTTGATTTGCTTCGCAGACAGTCGAGATAAATTTTAAGTTTTGCTAATTGGGTTGCATTAGGCTAAAAATTTAATTGAAATATACGGTAAGTAAATTAATTTAATTTATGTTGGATTGTTGGTCGGATTAGGAAAAAAATAAGAAACGTTAGGTGAGTACAAAAAAAATGTTTTTCCTTTTCGCATGAGGTTTATTGTTGAGGAACAACTTTAGAGCTATTATTTGTTATTAATATTGTGCAAATTAAAATGTTTCTATTCAATTTGTATTCATTCATATATAAACCCATTTATAATGTACGCATAAGGAAAGTTGGTCGACGTGTTTTATTCCCATTACTAGTGTGAGGTAAGATATGATTGAATACACGGTATTATAAACTAAGTATAATAAAATATACCCACAATATCAAGCTATTACGAACTACGTCTTATACCTGTAGTGCAATAGATACCTTTATCGTGGAACTCTGTCAGGGAAATAATAACAATAAAAATAATAAAATCTTTAATAACAAGGGTGAAAATTATGCCAAAGGCCTCTTTACAATATTGCCTTGTGAAACAAGATAACATAAAAATTCTACCAAATACAGCCAATGGGATCCTCGGCAGAAAGTCTGTGAACAATAACAATAATGTTTACATCTTTTCTTTCGACGGCTGTGATTGGTTATATTCGCTAGCGAATCCAATCAAATCATTACATTCTGTGATACAAGAAAAGTGGCCATTGCAGTCAAGGTATAAGACGAAGTTCGTAATAGCTTGAGATTGTGAAGAAGGGTCTATTTATTAACAGGGAAGTATAATATAATATAGATCTCCAATAGTCAATAATTATTATGTCAGTATTGAAAGAATTACCTCGAAGTGTATTGTGTCATACATAGAACGGTGTTATTATATAGAAAGATTTTGTTCCACACCTAGTGTTTTATAATATAGGAATATTCACATAATTTTTGGACCATATATTAATGGTGAACCTTTCGACGAGAATTAAGACATATACTAAAAAAATGTTCTGTGTTATGTAGTATTTATTAAACATTTATTGCACTTGTATGGATATGAAGATCATTTGTGATATTAATTCAGTTAAGTAGAAAGAGTATTACAAGTATAACACTAACAGTACTACATGGTTACAGAAATGTGAGGGTTTGGATTCTTGTGTTCTATATCTATTGGGACGCCAAGTATAACGATTAGTCTTTAAAGACAGTCAGTCACAATGTGGAAAACAACAGTTCTTCTGGTTGTATGTTGGCGAATGGTAGATGGAAACACCAGTAATTATATTTTAATTTATTGATATGTCATATAGTTTAATATAATGTTTTGTTGTTATACCCTAATGAAACATACATATAGCCACCAGTATCACGTCTTAAACGAAACGCATACGTGAATGAATTGAAATGCTCCCCTTCAGCGACCTTAAATTTGATCTAAATTTTCTCAATGAAAATGCTCAATATTGTAATAATTTCAATTATTGCTATGTCTATTTCGGATTTAGGATGGTTAATCGAATTTCGAGGCATTATCGATTGTGCTTGACTTTCAGGCAAAGTTGACAGTTACTTCTACAAATTGTTCTTCGAAAAAATACTTGCTTCCAATCCCAGAATCTAAACAACCGCCAGATAAAAAAATATCTTGAACTGCTTATGCGGGGTTAAGTAAGTTTTATTCTCCCAAATGTACAGGCCAGTGATGGAACAAATACTTCATTAAGAAAAAGAATTCTATGATAAGTGTATGAGATACTTATTGTTTCAGTACTTTTGTTTTATCATTTTAGTTGGTATGTGTGAAAACAGGACAGTGATCATAAACTCTATTTTCCTAAACAGAAATAGCAAGTATGATCCTACCAACTGTTGGTGTCAAATAATATCAGAAACTGGGAGTTTAACTAAAGTTACATTCAATGTTTTAAGTTTTGCCGGTCATCAATACAAGTTGTCTGTTTCTTATGGGAATTTTAAAAGTTATTTTGAAAATAGTACGTCTCCAAATATTTTCTACACCATTTGTGGATCAAACGAGATATGGTTAAAATTGGAAGAAAAGGACTGTTTTGCGACGGATGGTCTAGAATTTGGAATTAATATAGACTCAAATGCAGGTAAAGAGAATTCTAAATGAACTGAATGTAACATATATGTATATTTTTAAAGTTTTTGAAACACTATGAATTGAAGTAAGCGCAACACCTTCCATATAATAGGAATTGTAAAACTCCAGGGGAAATTTGTTTGGCCCAATTTCCGGTGGTTCGTTAAGGAAACATCAGGTGAGGGGGCCACAGACAATTCTTTTACTATGTTAAATGACAAAAAATTGACAGAATACAAACGCTAACAGTTGCCTTGGTGTAAGGTGTTCCTCTCTCTGGTCATCTTCACAATGTCAAGCTAGAACTGTATCTAATATACCACCTTTCTTGTATAACTGGATGCAACCATTTGATTTTATGTCAGAGCCCCCCCCCCCCCCCCCCCCCTCTCTGTAGAATCGCCACAGCAATTTCTTCAGTTACTGATCACTTGATAATACTTTAAAAACTCATAAATTCGGTCTCTAACATAAATGAATAATTTTAATATTTTTATTCACTACTATGTAGGTAATATCAATATAACTTGTTACAATACAACTGTTTCTACACCACAACTCTGTCTACAAAATACTAGTCAAGTTACAACCACATATACAAGTCCAGTAACAACTACATGTTCAGTAAGAAATACAAGTATAGTAACAAGTACAAGTCAAGTAACAATTTCAAGTCCAGTACCAACTACAAGTTCAGTACCAACTACAAGTTCAGTACCAACTACAAGTACAGTAACAACTACAAGTACAGTAACAACTACCGGACAAGTATCAACAGAAAATACAGATTTAGGTAAAGAGCCAAATTACTACCATATTTATTATTTAATGTAACGTATATAATTATTTGTTATGAATATTATTCTTTAGCACCCTTGTAAGAGGCGTTTCATTTTTTCCACAAATAAATTAATTATTTTGTACACCCCTGGTTCCCAACCTGGGGTACTTTCACCCCCTGGGGGTGAGGGACTGGGGCGTCGGGGTGTGGACAACTGTTGTAGAAGAAGGTTATTTTGGGAGATATTATATGGTTCCAAAGAAAACAGCAATAGCCTTCCCACTGAGCATCTTATTGCGGCCGTATGATTATATATACATTATTATGTGTGATTTTTATGATAAGTTTGAATAAAAAGTATAAGATTTACAATGTTTTGAATATCCAATGTTTAGAGGGCTGAGGGGTTCAAATGATTACTTCAGGGGTGTGAAGACTGTAGAAGACTGGGAACCACTGTTGTACAGTATTGTAGAACCAAAACCGAATTCTTCCAAATTCAAAATGATTTGATATTATTCTTTTTATTACAATATTTGCTCTTGATATTGGATACTGTTTAATAGCAATTTACTTTTATTTCAGATATAGGTTTAATCGGAGGAGTGGTTGGTGGCGTTGTAGTGTTGATAATTCTAATATTGATATTGATAATATGGTGTGTAATGGCTTTTCCCCTTCGTTTCTATTCTACTCATTTTTCCTATTTACATATCTTAGACCCTACTTACTTGATGTTTGCTAATGGTCGTCTGTAATTGAATCTGAACAGCAGGG